GATGACTGATGTGTAAAGACATAGTAAGATGGATTTTGGAGCTTAGAGATGACACCCCGGTCACCGACAGTCCTGGACAGCCAGGTGCTAAGGATACCTCTCCAATAAACAAAATGAATGTGGAAATATGAATATGAAAGCTAGGGCGTTCCCTCCAAGCCAAGCGCAGGGTGTAGAACTCCATCCTGTGAAAAGTAAAGTAAAGGTCAAAGCAAAGAAGACAAGATTATCAAGTTTGAATATTGGGACGCTTAAAGGTAAGACGACGAGGGAATTGGCATCAATGTTAACAAGAGAAAAGTTGATATAGTGTGCATACAAGAGACGAAATGGAAATAAATCCACTCAAAACAAGATAAAACTGAAACCATGCATCAAATGGGGCAAATTAAAAACAATGACAGCATTGAAACAATAGATTCCTCACAAGTCAGTGAAAAAATGTGGACAGACCTTTCATCCAGATTAATAGACACTGCCAAATCGACACTAGGCTTGACAAGGGGAGGCAACAAATCATACAAAAAACTATGGTGGTGGAATGAAGAGGTACAAACCACTATAAGGGAGAAAAAAGATATGGTACAAATCCAAAAACCCAGATGACAAGACAAATTACAAAAAATCCAAGAGAATAGCTACAAAGGCGGTGGCTAGGGTCAAATCTATGGCATACGATGACATGTATGAAGAACTACATACCAAAGAAGGGCAAAATAAAATATGCAGATTAGCCAAACAGCAAGAAAACAACTCTAGGGATATAAACGGAGCTCCGAAAGATCAAAAATAAATATGGGAAATTGATAATAAAGGAAAAGGAAATAACGAATAGATGGAAATAATATTTTCAGGAGCTTCTCAACTATAATCCCCACATACTACAGACGAACACTCCCCATGTCAAAACCTGGTACAACCTTAACAGAACAAGAAATAATCACATGCCTCAAGCATATGAAAAACAAAGCTAGGGGTCCAGACAATATTCCAATAGAAAACACTAGGAGATGATGGACAAATCTGTACAATAAAATACTTGGAAATGAAGAGATTCCCCAAAAATGGAGGCAGAGCTATCTAGTTCCTATCTTCAAAAATAAAGGGTATCCACACAATTGTCAAAATTACAGGGTATACGAAAAAATAATAGAAAAAAGATTAAGAGATATAATCGAAATAGGAGAGACTCAGTTTGGCTTTATGTCTGGAAGATCAACAACCGATGCTATCCACGCAATTAGGCAAATAAGTGAAAAATACAGGGAAAAGAACTGGTCTTTCTCGATCTATAAAAGAAAGGCCTTCGATAGAATCCCAAGAAAACTTATCTGGTGGGCGCTACGCCACAAAAAGGTTCCCGAAAAATATAAAAGAATAATACAGGATATGTATATGGGCCATACAACAATGGTTCGTAGCACTTCATTACAGTAATAGATGTATTAGCACAGTCTATACCTCAAACAGTCCAGTGGAATATGATTGTGATACTTGCCGAATCCAAGGATGAAATGAAAGAAAGATTAGTGAGTTGGGTTAAATATCCTAGAAAAGCACGGATTAAAAGTAAATAGAAAAAAGACGGAGTATATGGTGATAGAAGGAGATAGAGAGTATTGAAATAAATGAATGGCAAGATCGGCAATTGAAAGCTGCAAATATTTGGGCTCCACTATACAAACAAACGGCACAATAGAAAAAGAGATAAAGAATAAGATTAATCAAGCGTGGTTAAAGTGGAGATCTTTATCTCCCACACAAATTAAAGGGAAAAATTTACAGTTCCATAGTACAAGCAACTATTCTATACAGTTCGGAAACATAGAATCAACGAGAGAAGTCTACAAACAATGGAGATGAATGCTGAGGATGATTGCTGGGGTAACAAGAAAGGATGAAGTAAGGTAGTGCCCATTAAGACTAAGTGGTGGTATGGGCACACAATGGAAGTGATGGGCGTAAAAGAGGAAGGCCAAAACTTCAAAGGGGCCTTAAAGTTAGAGCCAATATAGAAGTATAAATTAGATAAAAGAAATTGTAAGAATAACATAAAGTGGAGAGAGATGTTGAAGGAGCTAACCATCAGAAAAGGTGAAAGCTAAAGAGAAAAAAAAATTAATAATTTATCGTAATTATAGTGTAAAAACATTTTAGGAGACATATTATAATCATTTAATTATAATTGGATAATGTAATTTATATCATTTCTCATGCCATTATATAAACATTATATTTATTGAATAATTAGTAAAACATAAAGTTTGATTATAAAATCATTATTATATTACAAATAGCATGGCATAATTATTTATAACAATATTAAAATCATTATATTTAATCAATAACCAATACATGAATACATATTCGTAATTTTCGAAAAAAAAACATTTTAGGACATTATATAATCATTTTATTATAATTGGCGGCATTTTTAAATAATTTCTTAATAATTACCATAATATAATCATCATATTATTCATTAATTAAGAAAACTTAAATATTGATAATAAAATCATTATTCTATTATAAATAATATCATAGCATTGTTATTAATAATAATATACAGATTAAAATCATTATATCAATTCACTTTTTAATTTATATTTTTATATGATGAATTAAAAATATAATTGTATTTAATAAATAAGAAAAACTTAATATGTGAAAATAAAATTATTATGTTCATATTAAAAATATATTAAAACATTTCATAATAATCAATATCATTAATAATTGGAAAACAGAAATTATAGTATTTTATATTAATTTTTGGGAGAAAAAAATTATGCACAAAAAATTATTTTTAACACAGAGCAAACTAAAATCTGGAAATTTTACAAATTTTTATTTAGATTCACAACTATAATTTTCGACTCAGAGTCTTTAAGGCTTGTGCCTAGGTGAACGCTGTCCTTGCGGCTAGCCTTTTTCTCGAAAGGGCCTATCCGAAATAAATTTCAGCACCTGCCCGATAATAAACTCATTATAGACGTTATTGAAGATGTAGACAAAGTAAGACGTATTCTACGATGCCATAATTATGTCAGGGCGGTAGGGTGGTTGATTTTCAATAATATATTTATCGTTAGGTAACCCAGTCTCCAAATTGTAATGAGTATGAAGATTGTTTAGGGGAGGCGCTATATTTGGCTGACTGTTTATTTTTGACCATGATTTTCGAATGATTTCGTAGGATGGGTGTTAAATTGTGATACAAATTCAAATCCTTTCTAAATTGAAAAAAATAAAAAATAGAGAAATATAAACAATAATAAACGACAATGATTATAATGGAGAAATGCAAAAATATTTTCCAAAGAGAATTATTTTCGCTTCAATCTCATTGTTCGTGAAATCCTAGAGTTTTGAATTATGTCTATTTAATATTTTTGAGATCAAAACATTTTTTTGGTAATTTTGAAATGGTCAATAATTTTATAAAAATGTCACATTTTTATCATTTGAAGTAAAGTTAAAAAAAACCCATAATTAAAAGAAATATATTGAATTTTTTTTAAATATTTATATTTAATAATCATTAAATATTTATATTTATAATCACATATATTATGCTATTTTTTGTGCTGTACTCGAATTAATCTCATTATTTTTCCTTTCCTGTTATCATATCGGTAAAATATATAATATAACAAAAATCGTTCTTGAAAAATGAATCAAGATAGATAAATAACCATTCCAAATAAAATGTAGGCAAGGCCCGTACATGGCTCGGGCCTATTTTTTTAAAAAGAAATCGGGTTCGGGCTGGGCCGTGTCTAATTTTTTTTTGGAAAAATTTAGGCCGGGTGGGGTAGGGCTTTGGAAATTGTTTTTAATATATCTAAATTTATCGATTTTATGTTGAATTTTTATTTTAAAATAAAATTATTTTATTTTATTATAGAAACAAGACGTCATATAACATATTAAAAATTAATTTCTATATTTAAATAAATTCGCTCCGGGCCGGGCTTAGAAAATTAGCCCCGATGCAGTACCTCACACTAAATATTCAAAGGAATTTGTATATTGATTATTGGTTTATTTAATTAATTTTTTTGTTTTGGCTGCTCACAGCAAGCTGTCGGATCTATTTGACAAAAACCATAATTTGCCTTATTACGACCTCAAGAAAACACAATATGATACGAATACATAACACGACTACCTTTGAAAAAAATATAGAATTATGTACATCGGCGTCAAGCGTTTATCAGACCTAGAATTCATAAAAAAATGATCAAAGAGTTGTATAAAATTAGAGAAGATTTTATGATTAAACTTCTTTTCCAAACACACTCAGTCCATATGCGCTACAGCCAACAAAATTTTAAATTGCAAACCGATAGTAGAATATTAAAAAAAATGCTCTCAACATTTTAAAACAGAGTAAATATGATTTTAAACTAAACAAAATAGATAACATACTTCTATTATCAAAGCATTCGGCTAAATAATTTCTACCCAATTCTATAAAATATACTGTAGAATATATGGACCGAGTGTGTTTAATAAAGAAGTTAATTCTATAATAATAAAATCTTCTTTATTTTGTACAACTCTTCCATCATTTTAGGAATTCCAGGTCTGATAAACGCATTGATGCATATGTACATAATTTCTAAAACTTTTTCAAAGGTAGCTTGTTATATATTCGTATTGAGGTTTCTTGAAGTCGCATATGGTTTTTGTCAAAAACATCTTACAAGAGTTTGCTGTAAGCAGCCACAACAATGGATCATAAATTATCCGCAAGGTAAAATTATTATTAGGGTAGCATATTTTATTACACCATTATTAATCATAGGTTTGGGAGAGGGCCTATATTAGTTTATTTAAATATTAGTTAAATTTATACTAAATAAAGGAAAAAAAATTAATATTTTTTGCCGCGCATTTAATTTAAATATACAATCCAAAGAAATTTCAAAAAATTTTTACTATTATGCTCATTTAGATTTACTCCATATTCCATGGGAAAATAAACATTCATATAATTACTGGTATTCTGGCGTTAAGATGGCTTCCTGAACCGTGAATTTTGGTTTGAAATTTGATATATCTATGGGGCCGCTCAGTAACGGCTTATATGGAGGTTCAATCTTTTTAGCTTCGACCTAATAAGGTAAAATAAAAATTACCATATATCTCCTCTTGTTTTATTCAGTAAATGTGAAGATGTATAAATGTTATTATTTTGATAAATTTTTCTTTCAATAAATTTTTAAAATAATTACCAGTTCCCAATCTAACCCTTTAAAAAAGGGCATGGAAATTATCTGCTGAAAACCCTTTTGGGGATGACACCCCAATCTCTTTCTCGGATTCTATAATGAAAATATAAAATTTTTAGTTTTATCAAAAATATATTATGCATTTTATATTCAATATTTGAATATCAAACTTTTATCAAAAATCCCGTTAGGACCGCCGAAGCCTCTTTCGATATATTTGATATTCGCGCAGCGTTTTCCTTTCCAAATAGGCCTATAAAATTTATTATTTAGATTATATTATACACCAATCATGATTAAAATGCATACAATGTGTATACACTGAAGTCAGTCATGGAAAGGCCGAAAGACACAATGACGGTCTATGTCAGCCAATGACATTGTCTACAACTGACCTCAATATATATATTTATAAATGAATTTTCAGTAGGTTAGCATTAAGTCTATAAGTGTAAATATTAAACAACTGATATACTCAAGGACGTAAATTTTTTTATTCAATCTAATTTTTAGGACTGCAAAATATTTTTTCGGGGTAATCTTGCAATTTTTACAGATTTTTAGGCATTAGTTTTGATATTGATGATTGTACACTTAGGAGGTTGATAATTTAAAAAAATTACAATACCGGAACATCCTTATGAGTATACTACCAACCCTATAAATTTCAGGATGATATTTAGAGCAAATCTTTGAATTACTCTTTTATAAATTTTTTATAAAAGATATACTCAAAAGATAATGGCTAAATTATTTGAAATTCACCGGGTATTTACACCATGTTTCAAAAATGGATTTTATCTTTATTTTAGATCATAATTATATATTAAATATCATTAGGCCTATGTTTATCCGAAAGCACTCTTATTAATTTTAGTTGTCATATTGGGTTATATTTTAAATATAGATTAGTTGATTTTTAAGAACAACTTAAGCTAAAGTAATCGAAAATCAAGTTTGAAAATTCAATTATATATCTGAGAGAAATTGGATGGTAAAGGTAAATAAAATAGAATAATAGATGAATACACATAGTTCTAAATCTATAAATAGAATATTGCTGTTAAGAATATATTAATTTTTTTAATATTTTAACTCAAAAGCTAAGAATTTAACATAAGATAAGAAAATTCCTTACCGGCAAAATCTTTTCAGTTAAAATATTTGGCTATATAAATCAGTGATGAACAGACCATGACTAAAACCTAGCCCGGGTTTATGGTAGTTTTTTTATATGTGTAATTCTAACTTTTTAGTTCAACGAAAAGCAGATTTAACAAAAATAATTATCTAAAAAAAGAGCAATTTAAATTTGATAGGGTGGAGCAAACATTACTATGCGAGGTTCTCACTATAGGTTTTATTGTATGATTATATTTATAAAAATAATATATTGGATTTTCTTTTTTTTTACATTAAACTGCTTTTTTGCCAAAAAATTTTGAATTAAAAAAATATCAACTTAAGGTTTTTTTAAAAATTATTCTTTTATAGTAAAATATTGGAATATTTTTTTTAGGAAAGAGGGAGAATGTGTGGTGAAGGGGAGGGGGGGGAGTCAACTTATAATATATTTACAAAAACAGAAAAATTTGCAAATAGGAAGTAAACATTGTCCCCAGTGACTGACTGTCCATGAGTCTGCTATATTAATTTCCTCTCAAATCTACGAATATTCATTCAAAATAGTGTTGTTAATCGACTGAGTCGAAAACTAAGCCAAGTTTTGGGTCAAAAAAATTGACCCAAACTGACTTGAGTTATAAACTCGGGTCATAAACTCAAGTCGTGAACTCAAGTCTTGAACTCAAGTTCATAAAATATTCGTCCTCTAGACGACTAGAGGACGAATATTTATAGTTATTTATTATTAATTAAGACGTTTTTACATTTTTTTTACTTTAGACTTCCAAATTGAGTCGTGAATACGAATTATATACTGGAATCGTCAAAAAAATTCTTATTTACATTTTTTTGATTGAATAATATTCTCAAATAATAAAATATTTTGCAGGTATCTGAATATTTTGAAATTATATCTCAACCATATTTTGATTTTATATAAGAAAGACAGACGTGTGATAATAATCAAAAATTTGTATTCTCGATTCAAGTTGGAAGTCTAAAGTAAAAAAAAATGTATAACAGAACAAATATCTTAAATAATAATTAATTTTAAAATATTCGTCCTCTAGTCAACTCAACTATATAGTTTGTATTCACGACTCAAGTTGGATGTCTAAAGTAAAAAAATGTAAATAACAGAACAAATAATTTAAATAATATTAACTAATTTAAAATGTTCATCCTCTAGTCGATTAAAATTGACGACACAAGTTCATAGAACTATTCGTCCTCTAGTCGATTCAACTATATAATTTGTATTCACAACTCTTGGATGTCTAAAGTAAAAAAATGTAAATAACAGAATAAATATCTTAAATAATAATAACTAATTTGAAATATTCGTCCTCTAGTCGACTTAAGTTCAGAGAACGATTCGTCCTCTAGTCGACTCAACTATATAATTTGTATTCATTCACGACTCATGAAAGTCTAAAATAAAAAAAATATAAAAACAAAAAATATTTTAATTAATAATAAATAATTTGAAATATTCGTCCTCTAGTCGACTCAAATTGACGACTCAAGTTCAGAAAACTATTCGTCTCTAGTCGACTTAAATTGACAACTCAAGTTCAGAGAACTATTCGTCCTTTAGTCGATTCAACTATATAATTTGTATTCACAACTCTTGGATGTCTAAAGTAAAAAAATGTAAATAACAGAACAAATATCTTAAATAATTTGAAATATTTGTCCTCTAGTCGACTCAAATTGACGACTCAAGTTCAGAGAACTATTCGTCCTCCTCTTGGATGTCTAAAGTAAAAAAATGTAAATAACAGAACAAATATCTTAAATAATAATAACTAATATGAAATATTCGTCCTCTAGTCGACTCAAATTGACGACTCAAGTTCATAGAACTATTTGTCCTCTAGTCGACTCAACTATATAATTTGTATTCAGATTCACGACTCGAATTGGATGTCTAAAGTAAAAAAATGTAAAATACAAAAAATATCTTAATTAATAATAATAAATCTAAAATATTCGTCCTCTAGTCGACTCAAGTTGACGACTCAAGTTCATAACTCGAGTTCACGACTTGAGTTTGAGTTAGTCGACATATTCGACTAACGACTCGAGACTCTGAGTCGAAGTCGGATGAACTCGACTTTTTAACAACACAATATGATCATATATTGATGACTTTTCAATATATTTTTTCAGTTAAATTTTTTTATGGACAATGCGAAACAAACTTGATCGTATAAATTTAATGAGATCAATCTCTCTAACATTAATTTTTGAATTCAGATTTAATTACTGCAATTCAAATTAAAGTAGTGGGAGAATAAGAAAAAGAACTTAAAGATATTTATTATAGTGGTCTTATGTTATAGGTATTTATTAGTCACAATAGCTAGTAAAAGATTTTCAGCAAAAAAAAGAAGTACTTTGGCACAAAGTTCTTCTCTGTTCCCGTGCATAAACAAAAGCTGGGTTTCCACTTAACATTTCATACATCATGATCCCCAGGGCATAAAAATCCACACTAAAACCTTTCATTAGTTTTATAAAAAATATATTGTAGGAATATTTAAAAACATTGCAAGTTAATAATAAAATTAATAACAACTTATTTTATTTTCTCTAAAAAAGGCAAATATAAACATAGAACACAGTCATGCAAAAATAATATCGTTTTAGGCTAAATATTACCCCCCCCCCCCCTCCCCATTTTATATATTTGTTTATTATGTGTAAAATATCAAAAATATTATATTGGAAGAAAAAAATATATATAATATTTACCATAACCTTGGCCACCAAACATTTCAGGGGCAAGGTATCCTGGGGTCCCACATAAGCTCCGAGTTTTGTTATTCCCATTAAGACCGTTCTAGAATAGTTAATACCATATATTAAATATAAACATATATTAATGTATATATAAAAATGATTTATTAATAAAAACCAGTTTATGTGAATGAATCTGTAAAATATATTGTCTTATCTAACAATAATAATTTACTGTGATCATGACTAAATGACTGGTTTACCAAAATAAACTTTAAAATAAGATATGTTGCTTTCTAAAAAAAAATTGATAATGTTACTTTGCTCAGGCCAAAATCTGTAATTCGAATGTGCCCATCTTTATCTATGAGCACATTATCAGGCTTAATATCCCTGTGAACTATTCCTGAAATATAAAAATGAAGAATTTTAACGTTATTACTAACATAACTATCATTAATATCGAAAATCGAAATATAAAATGAATGATGATAAAATAGCATTCATAAAAATTAGTTTATCTTAAAGAACAAGTTTGAAATAAAACCTTTGGAATGGAGGAATGTTAATCCAACTATAATCTCCGATAAATAAAACCTGACAGCATCCTCGGCCAATCTCCCTGTTTTTTCCAAGTGGTGGCGAAGGTCGCCACCATTTATGTATTCGAGAGCGAATATAAATCTGTTATTTATTTTTGTTATAATTATATATTGAATTTGTAGTTGCCAAAAATAAATAATCTAAAATAATTTTAATCATTCACAAAATTATTAAATATACTTGGAGGGAGTTTCAATGGAAGTATGGAATCTTACTAGAAATGGATGATTTCTAGAAGCTTCAAAAATTTCTTTTTCGATGCGGATACGATCAAATGCCTATAATAAAAATATGTTAGATATAAAATTGGTAGCAATGAATATTTTAAAAAAAAGTATAGTTTTTAGTTAATAATAATCTTACAAAAGTTATTGAATATTTTCAAGAAATAATTGGATCAGATTTGAATAATCATTGTTTCAAACTCTCAAAAAATGTATTTTCAAGAGAATAGAAATAACCTTCTTAAGCTTGAGGGTACTTTTCTGTATAGCCTTCAGAGCGTACAGCTCTTTAGTGGCCACTGATTCAGCCAAAAACACCTTTCCGAAAGCACCTTTACCAATGACATTAATCAGATTAAAATTATTCAAGCTAGCTTCATCATATCTCACACCCTCTCTATGCCAAACTTTGGCATTCACCTCCTCTTTAGCATCTTCTGGTACGTTATCCCTGACTATATCTTTTCTCCCACCCTTTTTCCAGGCGCGCTTTTCCCGGTTGAACCATTCGCGTAACCTACCACATAAACCTTTTCTCTCTTTTTCTAAATTATATAAATGTTAAATATTTATATATATTTTATTTTTTATTTACCCTTTTTCAACCGGACGCGCCCGTTCTCATCCTGACTAACATCCTTATCTTTCTTTATACAAGAAAATAAATTTTTACACAGCATATTTCAAATTTTTAAACAAATAAACAATGATGATTTATTCAGATATTGTTGAAAATACGTGTTGAATATATTATTGGAAGTTTTGATTCTTGCCAAAAAAACTATATAAGATGTGAAAATATTTTTAGATTAAGTTAAATGAAATTAAGAATATTTTTACATTACTAAAATTAATTGTAAGACGCCGTGAATCTCTATGCGACATGATGGGTCATGTGCTCATGTATTAGTTTTAAATTTTTAGCTATAACTAAAGGTGTCACTGTATGATTGGTTGGGAATAAAAAAAAATTCACAAATTCACGGAAAATTTATTTTTTAAAATTTGTATTAGGAATATACAATAAAATAATATATTAATTCAGAAATTAAATTAGCGATTTAAGTTAAAAAATATTTATGCTAAACGAAGGTTTTAAATAGATTTTAAGGCTTTTTATTGGCTGTTATAATGAGCATTAAACTTAGCTACTATTCAGCATTTACTATTAATAATTTTTATTAAAAGATATTAGAATGGATTATGGGATGAATAATAGAATCTAAATAATAACATAATAAAGACATCCTCATTAAATATTTGGAAAATTATCAATATTAGATAAAGGTTTGGCGATCCTCGATGTAGAAAAATAAGTAAACGATTTTACATAAAAAAAAGAGATGATAATTGGTAAATTCTAGAGAGATGAACTACATTGAGAGGTTTAGACATCTAGGCATTTAAGCATCAAAGAGTAATTTGAAAAAATTGACTCTTTCAATCATGCAATAAAAGACACATCCACAATTTACTCTATCAAGTACATAATATACAATCTATTAAGATTTGTAATTAATTTCTTTTCTATAATGATTTTAAAAGCTCCTGTTATTAAGCAAATACCAATAGGAAAGATAGAACGCAAAAGCAGAGATCGTTTAAACGTTAAATTAACTGATGATAAATATAGATATATTTTGTAATATTTAAACGTAAATACTTTTGTTATTCAAAAGAGAAACACTTAAATTATAATTTTCTTAAATGGTATGTTAAATCCCCTAATCACATTATCTGTAATATAGTTACTATTGGATAATAATATGTCAGTAATGGAAATATTTACGTAATTATATTTAATATTATACTTCAGTCATTAATTACAAATTATTAATATATTTTATATAATCTATAATATATTTTGTATAATAAGCATTCAAATTTATCCGGACATGAATAAAATTTGTTCTTTTAAAAAATATGGTGAGTAGTAATTCTTATATTTTAGACTAATTTTTAAAAGGGATGTATTGATTTTGTCGAACGCGTTCTTTTATTACATTCAATCAATTTAACAAAGTTACAATATTTTTTAAAAGAATATAAATAATTAGTCGGTTGCAATTCCTTACAGATATTTTTCAACATATTTATATGTTTATTTCTATTAAGTAATGCTTATTTTATAATTAATTATATAATATATATACTTCGGGTATTAAATTCGAATTACCTTGGATAAGGCTTCTACAAACCTAATAAAAAAGAAACTTATATTTATTATGGATATCAGTAACCTAGAAGTGAAGATGTTTCAAGTCCGTTATTGAACTCATGTAGAAAAATTGAAATGATGAAAAATATACTTCAAAAAATCAGTATAAAAACTTATAACCATGTTCCTATTTTTGTATATACAACCCTGTTATGAGAAGTTTTATATTTGGCTATATAGGAATTAAAAATATACCTTATTATGGACCTCGTAGAGTGAAACATATTTGAAAAAAAAAAACAATTTGTGTTTGTGTAAAATTCAACCCCCCTCCCCTTTTAAGTCTGGACCAGTCATGGCTCAAAATTTGTAATTAATTCACGCGCATATGACTCATCATGTCGCATATAGTATCGACTCACGGCCTCTTCGGATTGTTTAAATAATAAAAAAAATATTTGTTTATTTTAATATATAGAAAGAGATTCTAATTTCTATTATCTAATAAAATCATTACTTTTATTTATAAAATATGTTATGTAAATTATTATTGTCTCGTTGCGCAAAAAAAGAATATGAATGTTATTTTGAATGAGAATGGGTGTGCTCAGTAGAAAATGTGGCAAGTAAAAATATAAAATAAAAATAAATGTTTAATATATAATTTAGGAAAGGAACAAAAAGATTAAGTAAATACCTCAAGATTAGTTAGACTGCTAAACGAGAGCCATGTTATATGAAGTGAGTGATGATTTTTTCCGAAAAGTACCCAGAGATAATAAGGAGGTGGATGAATGCTAATGTTGGATATGAAAACTATTGGATTTGATGATAGGAGGAGAGGGTAGAAGAGATGAACTCTATTATCAATGGAATCGCAATTCGAAAACAGGTAACAGGGCATGGATCAATGCTATCAAGTAGCATATAAAATATAGGTTTATATATTTTAACATTATATCTGTGACATTTACCAAATTAGTGTTGTTAAACGGCTCGCTCAATATTTTATTCACAAAAGATATTACGCCAACCTGAAGATTTTGCTCATTGACGAAACAAAGGTCTAGGAATATATAATCGAAATATCCAGACTTAGGCAATATTTTTTCTAACTAAAATATTGAGTTAGCCGTTTTTAAAATTCGGCTCAAAACGAGCCGTTTAACAACACTTAACCAAATAATACAACTATATGTTGATTAATCATTAGAATACTAATGTATCAAATATAAAAATTATTTAAAAGATTAATGTGCCGGTCTTCCCCGCAGTTATAAATATCAGCGGCTTGCCAGCGTGATTTATTAAGGCAGCGTTTTCAGCGTGATCATGCGGCCGCAACGGTGGCTAACATTTAAGTCGAATTATATAATAAATGTATTCACATAAATTTAAATATTCATATAATTTATTTCTAAATATTTTAGCAAAACCAGCTTGATTTCAAATTTAAGGGACTGCGTTAGATTTAAAATAGTTTTTCTTAGAAATTTTCTATAAAGTCGCCAACAGAGACCATTCTCGACTATTGGATAACTTTCTAATGAAATTATTTTTTATCTTGTTTAATTAGAATCTTTATTTAAAAGACTATCATTAATCCCAAATTCTAATCTAAATTTTTTTTAATAATTACCATTGAATAGCGACTGAGTATACTGCATATTAACAGACAATAAAAAGTCTTAAAATCTATTGAAAGCTTTATTTTTATCATAAAAATAGGAGATGGTGAAGAATCGATAAAGTTTGGCACGAAGAAGCTATTGGATTTGATAATACAAGAATGCATTTGAGTGTGTCTGTCACACATGAAGACTAGAGTAAAGCAAATGACAAATAAATTGGATTGTGCTAGATTAATTATATTATAAAGAAAGTAATTGAATTAAAATAGCTACAGAAAAATTCATTCCCATGATTATATTATATTCCTGAAGTAATATATAAAGTGATTGGTGTAGGGTCATTCGGAAAAGTATTTTTAGCAGGAGTTAATCGCTTTTTTCGCCTGTTACTTTAATCATACATCATCAAATCACATCAAACCTTAGCATTCATCCCCTATTTATCATCTTCAGGTACGTTTTCCCCAACGAAATGTTTCTTCTCTCTTTTTTTTCAAGGCGCGCTTTTTCCAGTTGAACCAATTTCGTAACTTACTTCATAAACCTTTTCGCTCTTTTTCTAAATTATATAAATTATATAAATGTTAAATATTTATATTTATTTAATTTTTCTATTTACCCCTTATCAACTGAACACGCCTGTTCTCATCGAAAGCAACATTCTTATCATTTTTTGATACAAGAAAATAGATTTTTACATAATATATTTCAATTTTATTATTTAACAATTTAATTGAAAATATAAGAGGAGCTTTACAGCAACGGTCGTACATCCTTTTATACAAGCAGATGGGTAGAAAGTGGTGAGTAAAAATATTAGCATCATGATTTTAGATAATGCCCTCTTAACTCAAAAATAAAGAAAGATAGAGTACTAGGCAAAATATTTAATCGTTTTATATTTAGAATAATGATTATATTATTTTGAAAATTCTATATATTATTATTGTTTACTAACTATACCTGTGAAGTTAAAAGTAAATTATTTCAAATATTAGAGCATATATTCTAAATAATTGAAAAATTTTATTCTATTTTACCATTTTATGGTAAGGTAGCAAATTTAATAAATAGTCCAAACAAATATAGTTTATTGATATTTCATTTTAAAAAATTATTATATTAGTCATTATTTTTATAAAATGTACTGGAGGCAAATTCTCTAAAATCTAAACCTAACCTCTATAAAAATTATTTTCATTATAGTACCCTAAATATCACTAGCTACATTATTAATTTAAAATACTATTGATATCAACATTTATAGAAATTAATAAATAGTTTTTGGTCTTGTATAATTATTTTTGTAGATATTATGATATAAAATATATTAAAAAAATACTATAGAATTTGGTCGATGTTTAGCAATCTTAATATCCTCATCTAAATAAATTGACAATAAAATATTATACGAGCTAGAAAAAAAGGATGAATATTGGTAATTTATTGAATTCTAACCATAAAAAATTATGATTATTGTATTATAAAATTATTTTTTAAAATTTAGATAATAAAGTGTATATACGCAATAAGAGAGATTAAATTTTTTTATTTACAAAGGAAAAGGATCTGATTTTGGATTCTTATATCAGATGCCAGACAAATTAGATATCGAAGGAAAGGTAAATTTAAAACTGACAAATTTCCGGCCAAGACAGCAATTTGATCGCTATCTCACTTTTATACCGCTTTTAGATATGAAAAGCGTGGTTTTGGGTCCAGGATTAAATATAAGTTGTAAAAGAAAGTAAGAGGTTCCTATGATATGGTATGTAACAATGACAATAGTATTGTAATATGGAATGACAGTCGTATCATTATTTCAAGTACTTTTTGAATTGATTCCGTTGAAAATGGTCATAAATGGTAAAAGAAAAAAATCTATGTTTTTACCCCTCCCCCATCCAAAATCAAGAATTATAAAGAAAATATGAGGTATGGGTCGATTACTTCGATAGAGCTATACCCTACTAATCAATTTGCAAACCTAAAAATTATCTAAATTTCCGTTATCTTTGTCGTGTAGACTACTTAATAATAGAGAGAATGCATAGGGTTTCTATTTAAAGATATCATGCTAATATTGAGATTGAATTTATTATAATAAGAAACAACAGAATCTTCAGATTCAAGTTTATAAAGTGATGGGTTTGAAGACGTGATGTTGTTCTAATCCCTTCCATTTCTTGTAAGCCAAAAAAGAAACTAAATAATGTTGTTATCAAGATTGCAAATCTCATACATTTAATAAATATGAAAGCTGTAATATTTTTTATGTTTAACTAGTTCACATAAGGGTTTTTATAATTTTGATTTAAATATAAAATATATTATGCTACAGTATCAAATATGATACTTATAATTATACAATGAAATTTTTATAAAGAAAAATTGACAAAATTTAATCGATATTTATTTTTTCATAAATTTTCTTTTTTAACTCACTCATTTTTCCTCATGTCTGAAAAGGGTATATTAGATGGGTCTATTATTCAATATAAAATATTCACAACCTAATAAATTTAACCCCCCTTTGAAGCAAACCACCTCCACCCACTCATCCTCCCACCTCGCCCAAGTAATTGATACCTCTAACTTTTTTATTGGTAAACGGCAGACGGTAGTTAAAGGGTTGATTATGAAGTTTCATGTGTTAGTTGCCATCTAACTATAACGGCTTTCATGACACCCAAAGAGATCAAAAAATATTGGTCTTTGATCAAATTTCGCATATTAATACTCTTAATTTTAAAAGTTTTGAAAAATTCTTATCCAAATTTAATTTTTTTTTCTTAAATAACAAAACAAGTGTTAATTTCTAAAGCGATATGAAAAAATCATTCGACATCTCTTTTGGAGGTAATTAAAATGTTTTTAATGAACCTTTTTTAATATTCATTCTAGATTAAATCTTTTAAAATTTATTTTTAAGTCTCTTTTATGATTCCACGTTTTTATTATGACATTAATCTTAAAAAACATAGGTAATATTCTATAATTCATACATTAGGTATCACCTTCACCCCTTTTAACTCCTTTTACCAGCCTAACTATTCAATATTTTAATTGTATACACCTTCTTCCTTTTAATTGCAGTTATATCTATTATATATCTCAATCGCACTTTTATCATAATATCTTTGATATAATTTGTTGATGATATAAATAATAGGATCTTTAAGATTATTTTCATAAGTTAATTTTAAGTTCTTATTTATTGTTTTTTCATCTTGGCAAGATAAGGGAGAGATTTTTTTTTAAAAAACATATATAATTTTATATAGATTAGCGGAAAATTCGTAGATATTTTTAACATGGAGGGATTTCCTGTTTCTCGACTTTTCTCTTATTACTAATTATGATGAATTCAGGTTTAAATTCTTTAAAATAATATCTCATCAAAATATCTATATAATTGAAAATAAATTACAGAGCGCAAAATCTTAAGATTGCTAAATACAGCGCTGATTCTTATAATTACATATTAGTATCAATCATTTGCTCCACTTTAACAACATATGGGGATTTGGCTAAAAAAAATATTAAAGATGTCTGCGGCCTAATCAGAAAAAATTCTGGGGATGCTAGTGAAGGCCTATACTTAAGGCAGACGATCGTATTCGTCATTCTTAAGGCTAATTATTTTGTTTTATTAAATGGATCTCTCCTGATGATTAGGGGGATTTTTCTTTCAATAAATGTTCTGGTTTATGTAGCTATAATATTTTTCAACAATATTATATTCGCTCTTATTTTATATTTTATATTATTTGTGTTCGAAATTGTCATATTGTTAATATGATTGGTTCTAAACATTAAATTATATAACTAAAATATTATTTGATTAATGTTATATGTATAAAATTTCTAGTACCACAGTTTTACAAAAAAACATGTTATAGAATGGAGTGAATAATATTTTTCGAATATAATAAAAGCCTATGATTTATTAAATTAATATATTATATACGAATTATTTACGCGTATCATTTGAGTAATATATAAGTATAAAATAGGAGGACTTTAATCAAAAGTAGTTTATATTTATTCAAGGTTTCAAAGCATATACACGAGTTTGCATATCTAACGGAGAGTATTTAGCGTTGGTGATCCGACCAGTAAAATCTTCATCTTCAGGGTATTCCATTTTTTTCCTTAAGTTCGCCGTGTAATGGGATCCCTTGTATTCCTCAAAATACATTCCAATGTCTGGATGGGTTATAAAACAGGGAGCTGGAGCAAAAGTAAGGTTTTCTATAGATTTAAAAAAAAATTAAAATTACTACCATCAAATAAATACAGTCCTATTTGGATCCAAAAACTAATAATAATGATATTAAACCAGGGTTTTTTAAGTCTAATTTATAATAGTTCTGATATTTTCAGGTTATAAATTTTAAAAAAGTTCCGATGAAAAAAAACACAGGTTCACTCCCCAAACTCTAATTTTAAAAATATTTATCATTCAATTATTTTAAATATAATTTATCAACTATAACATTGGTGCTCATTTTGTAAATATTACAAAAAAATGATCTTAATCTACCTTGAGCAGCGTAACGGGTGGTTCCATCTTTTACCAAAACGTGATAAAAGGGTTGGTATTCTCCATTCTCTTGCAATTTATTCACACCCATTTGTCTTTTCCATTCTTCGCTAGCTCTGCAAAAGGGGTCCCAAGAGATTATAACACATATATATTTGTACCTGAAATAATATATATTGTTACAAATACATTATTTAATATTTATCATTTTACAAAAAAAAATAATAAAAAAAATAACATGATTATCCTTTGCAAATTATTTTATTCATGGCTAGACTCATCAAGTTTAAGGGGGGTGAGGGTATATTAAAACCCTCCCACAACCATCAATTTACAATTTCTTTAAATAATGGGGAGAGTTAAATAAGCAAAGATAGAAAGTACCCCTAGGAATAAGATTTTAATTACTTAGTTTGCTACTTATTCAATAGAACTAATTAGCTATCGGTTGATATCTCTAATAATCATATATTTATATAAGTTAATAAGGTCAAGAAAAAACAACTTAAAATATATTGATCTGATCCCCTGATCTGTGCTCAGGGTCTCATAGCTAGTTTAGTCGATTTTTAGACCTAGGCCATCTGGGTTTTACAGAACCAACTAATAAATAGCAGTTATATAAGTAATCAAGTTTAAGTTAACCTAATTATTGAGTTCACGACGCAAGTTCAAAACTCGAGTGGCGATTTGATAATATTTTTGAGTTGTAAAACAAGTCGACCAATCGACTCAAAACTCGACTTGTATTTTCAGTCAATTTTTGACTAAAAACTCGACTTGAGTCGTAGTTATGCCGACTCGGCGGAGTTCTTAACAACACTAATTTATACTAAACTAAACTGAGGCTTCATTTATTAAAAAAGGTACATACATGGAATTCGAATGTAGTAGATGCCATTAAAATGCATTTTAGCTTATATTTCTTTAATATTCAGACTAAATGCTTTTCAATGGCGAACTATAATTTATACATATTTTCTGCATTTAAATAAATAAATCGCCATTATAAGTTAGTATTTAATGTCATTTGGCTAATCCAAAATTAATTTACTTTTCGTAACCAATAATGTATTTAAATTAGGGAGGAAAAAAAACAAAAATCTACAACATAAAAAACTGTTTTTTTTAAATGTAAAAAAATGTCAAAAACAAAATGATAAAATAAAATTGTGATAAAAAATTTCCAAAAAAATATTAGTATAATGATAGTAATATTCATAAACTTGTAATAAAATTGGTAGATTACATTTTCCAAAAAATTGCAGTAATAAATAAAGATAAATTTTTTTTTTAGAAAAATCGGTTTTCTTGCCCTAATACATCAATACTTATGAAAAGTAAATCAACTTTGAATGTAGGGTTAATCGATATAAACTACCCAATAACCTATTTTCTACTTATTGCGGCTAGCAAAACAAAAAAAATATGAAAACTTTGATTTTCATATATATAATTGTAAACTTTTTATGCGTCATAATCATCCCGATCGAATATAAAACGTCGACATTTATGGGATCAGATCTTTTAACGATATGAAGCTAATCCATAAATAAAAAAATTATGTTATATAATAAAAAATCGATGCCAAATTGATATTTTTATAAATTCAAATAAATAAATAAATTACTAAAGTGAAACCTCTCGATTATTGTCAGCGATCAATTTATCATTGGTTTCAGTCATAAGCGATTTGCATAAAGATTCGTGCAGTCCTTTATTAGAGAGCTCCTTCAAATTTTCGAGAACCTATGTAATTTTGAAAATAATTCCTGTCGATTTATGTGTTAATAAGGGAGGATTATGAAATCAATATTATTAAATGGAAAAAAAAATTAAATTGTAATTTAATTAATGATATCAAATATTTAAATCTCTCAAAAATTGTTATAAATCTACTCATATTTTCGATATTTTATAAGAATATTCGTTTTTTATATAGATTGAGAGTAAAACGATGTCGAGATTCAAAAGTTGTAAAGGTAACTAGTTGTAATAAAAAGTCACCTTGTCCAAAATGTAACTTGTTATATACCATAGTAATATTACTTGAAATCTTACTAATTTACTCAAATCTTAACAGGTTATTCATTATAGTTACCTTAATATTTTCAAAAGATGACATCGATTATATTTACAGCTTAAAGAAAAAAAAAGATTATTATCTCAGATAATAATAAAATAAATTTTTTAAATGCAAATAGTTGAAGGCTATTAGTAATACTCCTAAAAATGTAACTATTTACAAGTTGTGGTCACCTTCCTGGAGATGTAACGTGTTATAATTCTCAACAATAAAAATAACTAGTGGTGTGATATGAGATTCATTATTATTCAGAATTTGAGTAAATAATTTTTTAAGGGCGATTTCTAAATGTAAAAAAAATCATATTTTGTGGAATAAGAGTAACCCCACCCCACAAATGTGAATTTCACTTTTGAAGAATATTCATAATCATTTATTATATAAATTTTTTTTAAAAATACACAAATGTTCACGACAAAAATTTTTCCGAAAATCATAGGGTAGGTAATCTACAAGTGCTGGAATAATTACTGAATAAATAAATAAAAATTATATTTTAAAAATCGCCGCTAGATAAATTAGAAGTAGGAGGGCAGCACGCCTATAATCAAATTATTTTCCTCAAAAATTGGTTGAAAGATTCAATTAAGGTGTTTACGGATTCTATATTTTTTTCTTTATTAAAAAAATCTATTTATCGATACTGAAAATTTAAGAGTAAAGAATATATTTTAAATTTGAATTTAATTATTTTTTTTGAAATTTAATTTCATATTTAAGATTAAATAAGATTTAATAATGATACTTTATCGAGTTCGATGCCCAGGTAAAGATAAAGTTTGAGAAGCAAGAATCTCATTTCGAAATCACTAGGATTAGTGATTAAAGAACATTCCACGGAAAACCTAAAACAGCGAAAGATTTCCTTTTCTTCGGGATGGGAAAATAGATTAGCTATCAAATTTCTAGCTAACCTCTGAATGATCTAATTTTACAATAATTTTCATTAAAAAATTTTTATTTAAATTAATAAATAGAAAGATATAGGATAAGATTAATTACATTTAAAAAATAATAACAATTATTAACAAGTTCTTGTTTTTCCCCAAAATTCTAAGAAATTATAGAGGAATATTCCTAACATATAATAAGAAATTTTGTGTCCCTATCTTAACACAAGTATTTGGCAAGTTCGTATTTAAATCAAATTATGGCACTTCTGCTAGCAGAGATTTGTTTTGCAGGATCAAAATAAAATAATTTCATGTATTTTTGTTTTAAAAAATATATTATAAAATATTTATTGATATCACTGATTAAATTTAAAATTTTAACAATATTTCCAAACCCTAATGCTTAAAAAATGATGACTTTATCTTTTTATATTTTAAAAGAGGAAAATATTGTTATATAAATACGATATAGAATTACTGCTTAATTTTTCAATTCATTCCAAAAAAATATTATGAGAGGAAAATTTTTTCTGTAATCGGGAATTTAACCAGGATAAAAATTTGGGGAAGACGGAAAAATTGGATGAGAGGGGGAAGGAGTAAATTGACAATTTTAAGAGACTAGTAAAAATAAATACATAAGAATTAATTAAAATTATTATTACAATTTTATTGCACTTTCATAATCTCCTCTCAAAAAATAACATTCAGGAAACCTATATAAGTAAAATGAATACTTATACATAAAAACATATAATACAAAAAGGGAATACATTTTTCGTGCTGGCAACTTTAAAGTCAGTTTCCTCGAGGATATGATCTACGAATGATGCCATTTGCAGTTCGGAATATGTCAAAAATTTACCATCATCAAAAGGATCGATGAAAAAAGTGTCTTTTTTTCTATTAACATCCCTTTAAAAAAATTTTAAATTTTTTGAATTGAATAAAAAATAATATAATTATTTTTTTACTCGTTTGTTGCTTCATTTTCAAAAGAATATCTTAAAATGACTCTCCGAGGGAAATCGATAATATCGCACTCTATATCTAAGCGTCGCGCTATTAATTTATGAACTATCGATAGCGTGATAGGTATCCCCATCTTACGTTCCAAGACCTACCATTTATAAATAACATTCATTTATTTGGTAATAACTATTTCATTTTTTCTTCTTCTTATATATAGATGTAAATTTTTTTCAGTTGCTCATTTAACTATGCTATGTAAAAAAATATCATTTAAAAAAATATATAAATATTTAAGCCAGAATGCGAACCCGGCAAAATTTTTGCCCAGGTTCTGTTTAAGGTTAAAAAAATAGGTGGGTTCAGTTCGGGGAAATATTTTTGAACACGGGGTTGGTTCCGGGTTCAGCTCGGGTTTAAGAATTTTTGAATTGATAAAAAAATTCTATATTTAAATCATAATTAAAAAACTAGACATAAATTTGGAATAAAAAATAAATTTTTTATTTTATAGGCAAAATATAGTTAAAAATATAAAGCATAGTCATGTATCAATTAAAAATTTTATTTAGACGTATTTCTTTAAATTAACAATATCCAATATAATAATTTTTACTTATGACTTGTTCACTTTCATTTTCCTCTAATTAATAATCTTTGAGAATAAGTTAAAAATTAAAAATAAATGGCATAAATGAATTTAATTGTTTAAAATTTATTAATACTCCAACAGGAATCTTAGAATTTAAATTGTTTAAAATTTATTAACACTTCACTTAATTGGAAATTTAAAATATTATAAAATCTCAATTAAAAAATTTTACAATTATACAAATATCTTAATTTATGATTTTAAACAATACACTGAACCCGGGTTCAAATAAATTCCTGGATTCGGTTTGGGTTTTTGAAATTTATTTTGACGGGGTTCAGATTCAGCTTTTTTCCAAAACCCGGATTTTCTTCTCCGGGTTAGGTTCGAATCCCTGTATTTTAGGTAAACTTGGTTAATGAAAGAATTTTGTATCCAATTTTCATGATCGTAATCGCCCCGGAATCCATACTCGCAATAAAGATAAGTCGAAACGTATTTTAACAGTTCGAGCGTATACTCCCGATTTAGCCTTTTCGCGGGATCGAACTTAACAAAAGTTAGGTAATCTGGGTGCATTTTTGCGGCAGGCAGATTTTCATTGAAAATAAAATATATTTGGTAAACAATATTTAAAAAAACAATGGTATTATTATCTAGAGTATAAAATGCCGGTAAAGTTTAAAAATTGATTAGAGGCTTGAATTTTTCTATGAGCTCATAGATTGCCTTATTTGCAATTTTGTAAATGATTTTAAAAAATTGTTTGAGAAGAATCTTTGAAAAACATAGCTGAATATTAAAAAGGGAGGTGGTGGTTATTGGACCCAATAACATGAAATAAATAAGTTATAATCAGTAGCTTCTATGTTTAAATAAATCATTCATTAAAATTGCCTAAAGTTAATTATATAAGTTCCTTTCATCCTCTTTATTTTTACCATATGGAGAGTTATGATATTTTAAGACAATTCTTGCTTACAAAAAATTAAATAAGCCTTTGAAGAGCCTTAAATAAAAGTTTGCATAAATCATGCATAGATTTATAACCTGTTCGAGTAGATGATTTTGCGCGAAAATGATTTGAAACGATTGAAGTGTGAGTATTTAAAAATCGACTCCAGACATCATCGGCTATATCGTCTAGTACTTTGGTTATGTTCGTTATCGCGTCAATTTCGATAAAAGGTTGATGCCAATGAGTAAATAAAATTGCGCCTAAAAAAGAATTTAAAATTTTGAAAGTTAAAGCCGCATATGCAAAAGGCGTAAAAATTATGTAGATTGGTTTTTTTATTTGACAAATAATAACCAGTGTTTTATAAACAGGGCTGAGAACCAGAACCCTAAGAACCTAATGTTTAATCGAGCTTGGTAGAATCATAATGATGTTTGGATGAGGAAGCACTTTAAAAGTTATGAGGAAGAATATTCTTGAACACAATAAGTTTATAGGTAAAATACAAATAAATCGTCATGATCAAAAATGATTATCTAATACAAAAAAACGTTTATATACAAAATAAATTGATTTAGATTGATTTCGAAATTAAAATAAAAAAAACAATCAATTTAGAATGCCCTCTTATAATGAAAGATAAAAACTTATAATTGTTTTGAATATAAAATAAAATATTTTTAAGAGTTTAAAAAAAAGAAAAAACAGTTTTGAATTCTTAATATGAAAACTTAACATTCTAAAAAAAATATAAAAATTAAATAAATTTTTTGAATATAAGACAAAAAATCTGACTGATTAACAGAACCCTCAATATTTTACTGAATTCAAATCTGAACCCTTTTTAAAATTTAGGATTCGACAATTATTTTTCAATAAAATTTTACCAGAATATTTTGTAATTTTTTAAAATAATAGATAATAACACATATTTTTGTTTGTCAAATTATTAAATTAAAAGTAAGATAAAAAAAAAGAACATAATCACAAGGTAAAATAGCATTATTAAACTTATATTATAATTTTAATTATAAAATATATTTATAAAGTTTATAAAAACTGATGTTTTTGTTATTGTTACTTAATTTTATAGGTCTTTAATCTTCTGGATTGTGAACCCTGAATCCGGACCTGGTTTGGAGATATGTAATTGAACCAGAACCTAAAACTGAACACTTTTTAGTAGGGTTCACAGCCCTGGTTAACACTAGCCGGCCATTTATGAGAAGATTTTTTTTGTCCAGCTTATCAAATAATTTTGTGCAAGTCCCTAGCTAAAAAATATTTTTAGTAGGACTGTGCCGATCCACATATTTTTAACCGATCTCTATTTTCCGATATTGGTTCAAAACCGATCCGATATTTATATTAATTTTTCACCCCCCCCCCCCTTGAACCAAATGTAATTAAGAATACAATATTTTTCATGCAAAAAATCGAATTATGCATTTAATTTAATTTTTTTATTTCTATAATTAAAAAATGTTTACGGATATTGGTAGTACCAATGAAATAAGAATTCCGCAGATAACGCATTTTGCAAAATTATCTTTTCGTAAAATATTTCCATAATTCAGATACCATATTAAAAAATATTCTTTTATTTAAAGTATAAATAATAAAATTGGCGTTATTATTTAAAAAGATTCAAAATAAATAAAACTTTGGGTTTATATTTTTAAAAAAAAAACTTTATAAAAATTAAGGGGTGTTGTGCATTTGAATTGTTTAAAAAAAATTATTTAGAAAATATTATTAATGTAAAATAAATATACATAAAATAACAAAAAAATAGAAAAATAAAAAGATTGGATAGGTTTTTACAGGTATCGGCGTGATCCTATATTTTTGGAAAACGCTAAATATCGGTGACGATCAGATATTTGATATCGGCACAGCCCTAATTTTTAGGCTTTTGGACCGACATCTAATAAGAACATCCATCTAAAAATTTATATTATAATTTTTAAAATATATTTGGCAATAAATACCTTCTTCTAAATCTTGTTTTTCTGATGGTTTATTAAGGAATAGATCAAAATGAGTTCTTATTTGGCTTTGTGAAACAAATACCAAGGTAATTTCGGTATAAAATTTAAAAGTCAAATCATAGTACCTTTGATTAAAAATTGAATTACAATAAAAATTTTAATATATAAATTGGCAAATTATTATATGAAAAACCTATAAGATTCAGTGTTTAAAATGAATAGAATTTCTCGAATTTCATCTAACAAAAAGTTTGTACCATATATATCTTCATCAATTAGTTTCTGGAAATCTACAAATGCATTTGAGGATATATCTCTTTTCTAAAAAAACATTTTTATAATAACTTTTAAGATTATCAAACATAATATTGATTCCAAGATAAATCTTCTATAGCTTTTTTTGTACTATAAATATACTTGAATCTTAGTTTATAAACATCTAACCAATCATTATCACTATATTTCTGTATAATATTCCACAATCTCTTCCACCTTTATTGATAAAAATGGTCAATTATATATGATGATATTATCCAGAAATGCAATGATACTACTTTTTATCACCAATAAAATAAAGTATTGCCCAATATCAATTTTCTTTTTATAAAATATAATCCAAAAAAATTAAAAAAAAAATATTATAAGATTTTTTACTTTCAGTTTTTATATTTATATAAAAATATTTTTTGACCATTAATTTAAGCCTTAAAAATGCTTTTCAATATACTAAACAAAATTAATTTTACTGTATTTTATTATTCTTTGTAATAAGGTTATTTCTATGATAAAATTTTAAAAGTAAAAAAAATTAACATAAATCTTTCTTTATGTTTAGATATTTGTAGATCAATTTTTTAAAAATTTATTGTGTTTATTTAAATTTCCATTGGCTATAATTGAAAGTATAAACTAATATACTGAGTATCTCATATCAGATCACTATCCAAACTGCTAACACCAATATTTGAATGGTATTGGTTAATACCACTTACCCAAAATAATAATTTAGTTTATATTTAGAATAGGAGATATATTGAATATTATAAATTTTTTTAAATTAATTAAAGATTAACATCTTTTTTTCTTTTTTATCAGTTTAAATAATTTTTTTTTATAAATTAATTTAGAATTTTTTTTTAAATTTAGGTTAATTATGATTTTTGTGTATTGACTATTGGTATTAGTTAAAATTTAAAGTAATTAACCAATGCCGTGAGTTTTCACCTGATTACAAGTATTAGTTCATCTCTGCCCAATTTAAAATATTAAAGTATCAGTGTATATCAAATTGTATTTTAAAGTATCCACAGTATATTTAGGATGATCACAATTAATTTATTAACACCATTAATAATGTAAAAATGTAGTATAATCATTATAATTAAAAAATTTGTAAATAAAAATTTTTATCAAAAAATACTTTATTGCAAAGCACATAAAAAATCTTAATAAGTAAAACTGAAATAATTCCATATATAAAATATTCATTAGATAATTAGGATGTTCACAATTAATTTATAACACCATGAATAAAGTGAAAAAATATAATGTAATAATTATTTAATAAAAATTTGTAAAATAAAGAGTTTTATCAAAAATTGCCTTATTTTTAGAATAAAAAACGAATGATAATAATAAAGTAAGATAGCTAATTTTTTACTTTTTTTAAAACTTTATACAAACTTAACCTTTATAAATTCACTTATTTTCAATTTGTTTATCTAATCATATTTACTTTTGCTTAAATTTACATTGCCAAAGATTTTGCGATTTAATAATCCTATAAGACTTCTTTGAGGTAGCACCAAAACGTATGATATCTAGGGCCGTAATTATGTTGCATTCAAAAATTTTAAGGATAATTTCTGAAGGAATTAAATGAGTCAAGTCCAAATCCATTTTGCGAATGAACAAATTTTATAGGCATATGGAATGACCTATAATCATTAACCAGCTGTTTATAAAATAAAAATAATAAAATATATAAATGATACTGATATTCTCGAGAATACCTTGATAAATATTTTAATAATCGGTGAGTAAAATTCGTATATTAATAAATTTAAATAGATATTTTTTTAGGAACATTTTCCTGAACGTTTTGAAATGTTTTACATAACATTCTTTTTTGCCTGAACAGGAGGAGATAGGAACGTAAAATTGCCTTTCATTCAGTAATTTACATAATATCCATCTAAATTATTTTTAGTATATTGCGAAGGCGAGATTGATATTCGTATGGCCAAGCATCATCCCGCATATATTGGTTCACATATTTATTTTTCTCGTAATATATGGGAAAAAACAGAAAACTAACAATATTTCCGGTAATGATTTGAATATGAATACGATTGGTCTACAGTTTTGGATCGAATAGCAAATCATTCATGTTTTAGGCCAAAAAATGTTAACTTTTTGAGGGTATAGAAAAACTCATCTATCAAAAAAATGAATAATAGTTTTAGGTTTTATCGATTTATTATCGAAATTTGATGATCTCATATACCCCATTCGTTAAATTAAGAATAGTGAAATTTATGAAAATCTAATTGAAATATTAGCATGATAGGAGACAAAATTGTGGAAGAGATTGTTGATTCTATTAAAAATTATAAGTACTTCTTAAAATTGTTTAGATTTTTTGAATAAACTGGATATTACCTTGATTGTTTTTTATTTCAGGCAAAATTATAGTATTCCCTTTAATCATTGGTCGGAATTGTGGTAGAAGTTAAAATTATCAAATTTAAAAATATGATTGTTCTGGACAATCTTGAAACTTTTACCTTTAGAAAGGCACCAGAAAGAAGCTAGGCGAGTCGGACTTGGTTAAATAAACCATCAAAGTTTTTCGAAATATTCATGAAACAAAAAATATATTAGATCGATTTTGAAAAAAACTAAAATATATACTGACACCTCTGATAATGATGACTTACTTTAACTATGAGGATGAATTCATTTTATATTGACAAAGTAAGGATCTCAGCTTACTACACCATATCTCAATTATACTACTACAAACAAAGGGATAAAATTATATATAAAAATTCAGAATAGATAATTTAAAATTGAGATATTTAGGATTCCATATCAAATATAACCAAAGTTTTATCACACTGAGTAGAACAGTGTTGTAATATTTAGATGAAAACGAAAAATGTCTTATTCAAATTAGAATTATTATGATATTATATAATATTACCGACTATGTTTATGATTATTATTAATGAAAGATTATATAATTGACATTTTGTAAATGTGATAACACTTTACAGTTTTTTGGAAAGAATTCTTTTTAAATTACACTTTTGCCCTTTATTTGTTATGACTTATTATTTCTAATTATGTTGGATGATATAATAAAGTGATCGTATTATTTATATACATATTCTGTTTATAATTTTGCAGTTCTTTCTATTGCAATCTATTCTCCAATTGTTAGCTCAATCATGCTTATTAGAGTGTCACAATTTTTTAAAAAGTCAAAATCTCACACTCGCCTCAAATTACCACATTTCTGAAATCTCCCGAATATAAAACAAAAAGTGCCACAATATTTTTCTAAATTTTTTCAAAATAAAAATATGGAAAAACACAAATATTTACTTTATATATTAATGCTGCCCAGGTGTTACATTTTAAATGTATATTGACAAGCGTGTGATATCACATTTTATTTGTCATATTTTGTGAAAATGAATGAATACCCGATTTATATTCCATCTCACCGACTAAACACGATAACTGAACATTTATCGCAGCAGCTTAGTTATGCCTTCACAGGTTCTCAAATTTTATTATACATTTTAAAGTTATTTTTTTAGCCTTATGAAAGAAGATGTGTACAATATAAATAGATAGCTAGTAAATAAATCTATTCACCATGAGTTCAACCACTGCCTCTTAATTTTCCCAGTCTAGGTTAGGAGATGAGTAATATTTTAATTAACACAAAATATTAATGTGGGTACCAAATAAATGCTAATTTATATATTTTTTGGCTGAAAATATTTACTCTTACTTTTAATTAGTTGAATTTGGCCTGTAGGGGGGGGGGGTGTGGATGCAAAATAAATAAAAATTTGATATGAGTATCGAATAAACGGTAATGAATTTTTTATTATTGTAATAATAAATATCACTCTAAGTGGGTGTGTCTAGGTCTTGGGTGGTTAGGAATATTTTTATCAACAAACAATATTGATATAGGTGTCAAATAAAAGCGAATTAAAATATTTTTGACTCAAATAATATTATTTACTCTTGGTCTTAATGGGTTGCTTGATCCAGGGAGGGGGTAAAAATTAGATATGGATATTAAATAAAAGGTACTTTTCTTTCAAGACAAGATTCTATGATACGAGGTGAATCCCATTTTGTAAATTAGAATGATGGTCTGCTTTATATTAAATAGGCTAATATTTTTTTAAAAAAATACTTCTTAGATTTTTATTGTAAAGCTTTTCTCCCCCCCCCCCCCCCCCCACCGTAATGTGTAGTCTGTTAATCTTTCTTAATATCATTTTTGTATGGCATTTTGCAGTAAAACAATTTAATAAATTAAAACAATACATGATTCACAAAATAAATTTCTTGGTATAAACTAATATAATTAAATATTGATTTCAGAATATATTAAATTAAATAATTTTAATCTGATTGTCTACTAATTGGAAAATATTGTTATTTATGATATCTTTTGTGGAATCTTGATCGTAATCTAAAAAGATCATGTGTAATTTTTCAAAATTATTACATTTTAAATAAAGTATCAAATTCAAATTGTTCTACTTTTTTAGATATATTTAAAACGAACTTATTTGTTATGCGATTCGTATTTTACTTACGAATATGAATAACAAAATTATCGACTTAAAAATTTGAATCGAATATGAATAAGGAAAATATATTATTCGTTATATAATTTTTTATCCATTATTCGATCGAATTTGATTTTTTCTTATTTAAAATTTATTGTATATATTATTCTTCAAAACCATCTATATTATAACTTATTCATAAATATTTAAAATTATTTCTAGGTATTTAACATGTTCCTTACTTAACATTTTTTTTTAAACTTTATTGCTAAATCTATAAATCGCTTTTTAAAATTTAGCAATCTAATTTTTCCAGAGTTTTAGAAAAAAAAATCTTTCGAACTTTTTTTATAGTAACAAATATTCATAAAACCTCTTATAAATCAAAAAAATTTAATTTAATTCTTTCATACTCTGATTTTTTCATTTTTGATTAAATATATAAATTTAAAGAATTTAAGTTTTGAATCAAATATTCGACGAATCAAATCGAATAATGTGTTTATTATTCGTACGAATACAAATAAGGAATTATTCAATTCGTATGAATAATTATAATTCGATTCGCATTTTTGAAAGTATAATTTTAGATTAAAAATTAAGATATATTTATTAAGGATAAACTTTTATTATTTATTTTTTCAATTAACAATATTCAATTTTAACATAATAATATTGATAAAAATTATGATTTTACCGTTTTTGTTTCGCTATAACCATACAAGCCATCTTCCCCTTTCTCGCGTCCTAGGCCGGATTGTTTAAATCCGCCAAACGGGGCAGCGGCATCAAATATATCATAACAATTTATCCTTTAGTTATTTTTTATTTAAAATGATATATTAGTGTGGTTAAAAGTTTATATTTACAGTTATATTCCAAAAGAACTATTTACATTGCATAAATTTATAAATTATTTATAACTCATCATATAAATTTATTTTTTATTATTCAAAATTATTTAGCGATTTACGAATTTTAATAAACAATTTTCATGAAAATAAAATATAAATAAAGAAAAAAATTGAATTTATTTTAAATATTATTTTCAAAATTGTGCTATAAAAAGCCTTCCCTAAACTAAACAAACGTTTTGCAGTAGCGCGTAATGTTAGATATTATATTTACTTAATATAAATTTGTTTTTAACTGTTATTTTCATAAATACAATTGTAAGTTACTACTACTATAAGCAATTTGACAATTTAAATGTTAATATTTTTTTAAATTATTCTTTTATAGATATATCTTCATTTGTTAGTAAAACAAAACTAACTTGATAATATTAGTTTACATTTTGGAAATATATCTTTTTCCGTAATTATCATACCCCATTTGATAACAAAATACATTCTAACTTTCCCAATTCCAGGTGGAAATATAGATCAATTTGATTTAAATCAAATTTTTTATTTCACTTTAAACATACAAATTATCAAAATCATCACTTGACATCTAACTAAAAATACCTTTCGAATATTGTTTAAAATTTTTTTAGCAGTAAGTAAAAATTATTTATTGCCCTTTCCTAGGCTTAAAAATCATTAATATTAAATTGTTTCATTAATATACTTGATCTTATATATTTAACAATAACAATATTAAAATGTATATATTTTTAAATATCAATTTCAACAATAAATAAAATATTAAATAGATAAGATTTTATTATCAAAATATTCAAAAGAAAACAAATTTTCTAGGTTTACATAATCCAAGCCTGTTTCCACATTTTGATTAGACCAGGCTAAAGAGAAAGATCTTACTATTGAAGCTATTAAACCTGATTAAAGATTAAGATTTTTACTGTATTGTCACTAATAAAAATATGTTCGACTATTTTTTGTACAATATGTCAAAGGATTTTGTGACAGAAAATTAGATCTATCATTTGAGTCTGATATTTAGAACTTTTTGGCCAATTATTTTGTCAACCTCACTAGGATATTCAGAGCAGTAGAAAAATATATCAGAAGCACACCTATTAGTAAAAATGTTCTCAAAAATAAAAATTTATACTATTAATATCACTCATTTTCAACATGATAAATGCATTTTCCATAACTAAGTTTATATATTCAAGTAAAATGTTTTTCATTTTATAATTAGGCACTAACCCTTCAATTTGTAAATTTAATTTTCTTAAATTGGTAAAATGTACTTTTCTTAGGTTTAAATAAAATACGAATGTATAAAAATTTTAATCATCTTTTCAACAAATCCAATTTAAATTTTAAAAACTATTTTTTAACAAATCATTGATTAAAATGTATCCTGCCAACTAATCTAAACTGATCCTTTAGCTTCGAGATTAAATTTGAACTTACAATATTTTTTTTCTTGATTCACTAATAAAATTAAAATTTAATAACTTTATAGTATTCAATATCAAAAATGAAATATTATAATGTACCAAATGGTCCCAGCTCTTATAATTTGAGCTAGCATCATGGCTTTATCTATATCTTTGGTATATACCGCCGCAGCCAATCCATATATGGTTTTGTTAGCTCTTTCATACAATTCATCGATATTCTTAAATTTAATAATTTGTTGCACCGGGCCAAATATCTTCATTCAATGTTTTAGTTAAGATATATAAATTCATGTAAAGTTCATATTATATATATAGTTAAATTATAGGTGTAAAAATGTTGTCAGTGTTTTCTTTTTTCAACTTTAAATAATTGTTTGAGTGCGTTGTTTAAAAATCTGATCGGAAAAATACATGTATAAAAAACCTACTCTGCAGTGGCATAACTAGAAATTTTCCTTAAAGGAGGTCCATACCTATAAAAGCTCTGGGGAGGGGGGGGGGGTAAACAGGTCTTCGGCTATCTTAAAAATTATATCTCTTTCTATTTTTCAGTATATATTAAATTCTAATAAAATCAGATCAATTCAAATTAAAATAACATTAAATTCAACATCTAATAATTTTTATTAAATTATAAAATTATTATCCTATTTAATTATTTTATATAAGATAAATGTAATGACTCTTATAATTACAAAAAAAGACGTAAAAGATGTTTTCCCTTGGTTCTAGGAAAATAAGTTGGATTTTCTTATTAGAGCAAATAAATATGCACTTTAACATTTTCTCTAATTTTTTCTTTAGAGGCTTCAGAAATAACTATTATTTAAATCATTTTCGTTATTTTTATTTATAATTTAAAGTTGATCAATGTTATAGGTTGATAATAAATAAGAACTCAATTTATTAAAATATTTATTTTTAGTACAAATTACATATTGCCTTAATTATAAATGATATATTATATTAATCATTATTATTACACATCATATAAATCAGAGTTTGATAAAAATCTTGAAAAATTTTTGAACAAATATTACATAATTTAAATATTAATAAGTATATATTTTGTAATTTTCATGCATGCATACAAAATCTTTCAAGTAAAATCTTTAATTTTAAGCAAAAATCAAAGATTAATTTCAAACTCTGATAAAAATTGTAATTTAGGATATATTATTTTATTAAAATAAGTATGAGATAGGATTATAAATGTTTTGTTAATATCTATCAAAAATATAATGTTGTTTGCTGTTGATAAAAATAACTTATAAAATATTGATAATAAAACTATATTAAATTTTGTTAGATATTTATAAAAATTATTTTAAATTCAATTTAATGTACCTATTTTATGTTATTTATTTTATTTAATCCTAAATAGCTCTTTATCCATTTCTTTTATGACTTCATGTGTTTGATATCTATATATAATGTAAGAGCTAACCCATGGTTCAGGATGTCTTTAAATAACTTTTTTGGGTAGCAACTGTAGAGTAACATGTAAATGGTGCAGGTAAATAAAAAATATATTTTTTTAACTTTATTATATATATTAATACTCTTTTTTCCATTTCACACTTCTATTATATACATTTTTTATAAGTCCAAATTAGAATATAAACGAAATACAAAAAAATAAAATAATATTAAAAAAGTAAGGTTACGCCGTTTATAAAATAAAATTAGATTATAACACATAATAAAAATCAAATAATAAAAATTAGATTATAACAAAAAATAAAATTTATATTGTAATAAATAATAAAATTAGAATAATGCAACATTCTCCCTCTTCTGATAATTTCATCGGAGAAGTCATAGAGAGTTTGTTGTCCAAGTGGTTTATCGTTTTGGTAATCAAGTTGTATCACAAATCATCATAAAGTTGGCTTGTCCCAATCGTTGGTTTGATCAATTCGATTTTGCACGTTGGTTTGTTTAATCACAAGCTTGATATCCATATCGTAAATTGTCTCCATTAATCATAGCTTGTTTGATAGTGCTCAATTGTTATTATCATTTTTCCGAAATTGTTATTATCATAAATAAGTTGCGAATAAGAAATAATAGTTTATCATAAGAATAAATGAAGAATGATAAATCAATAAGATTGTTATATTTTTAGCGTTTTAATTTCTTGCGTTTTAATATTTAATTTACTTTATACAATTTAATATTTATTTTATATTTTAAGTTACATAGTCTTTTAAATAAGCAGGTTTTTTTTTAATTCGCACAGGTCTAGAGATAGGTGTTATATCTTTATTATCAGTAATTTTTAAATTTTTGTCCATACTTCCCTCCTTAAAAGAATCCTTAGAGTCATAGTTAATAATTGTGTTAAAACAGTTTCTAATTCTTATTTGATCTAAATGTCTCCTCAAAATACCTTTCTCAGTCTTAATTTGGAACATCATATCACTTTCTTTATGTGTGATTATACCTTTGCACCATTTATCATCACCTTGTACTTTATACCAAACAAAATCTCCTACGTTAAAAGTTCTATTTCGTGGTAAAGTAACGTTTATTTTATTCTCCTTCTCCTCCATCGGTTTTAATAAATCCCATTTAATTCTAATATCTCGATTAAACATTCTCTGTGATGGTGTAACTCCCGTAGTATCATTACGCGTATTTCTGTAATTAAATAAAAATTTGCTAAGTGCGATATCTGGGTCTATTTTAATATTCCTTTTCATATGTGTTTTGAACGTTCTAACCATGCGTTCAACCTGGCCATTGGATTGCTGGTGATAAGCAGATGTAAGCACATGTTTAATACCAAAGTTGTTGCAAAATTTTTCAAAATCGTTACTCGTAAAGTTAGTGCCGTTATCAGTAACTATAGTTTCAGGTATTCCATATAGCGAAATAGTTTTAAAGATTTCTTTTAAAGTAACATCAGTCGTAATATTTTTAACAGGAATAATAATTGGAAATTTGCTGTAGGCATCGACTATTATCAACCAATTTTTTGTGAAAAACGGACCCGCATAATCTATATGTATCCTTTCAAACGGTTTGGTTGCCGAAACCCATGGTTTTTGTATCTTTATAGGATTATCGTGATATATATTAAAATCGTCACAACTTTTCACTTCCATAACGATATCATTATTTATACCAGGCCACCACATGTAATCTTTGGCTAAGGATTTGATTTTTCCTGCTCCCAAGTGACCTTCATGTAATGACTGTAGTATAGTTTTTCTCATAGAAGACGGAATTATGATTTTATTGCTTTTGTAAAGACAATCCTTAATTATACTTAATTCCAATTCAATGTTTTTATAAATATTATTCATTATAGGTCTGTTGTTATTAATATCATTTATGACTTGTTTTAATTCCATATCTTTCAAAGTTTCATCACGAATTTGATCAAAGTTAATAGGTAAGTCCTCATATTCATTTAGAATGGTTACATTTTCAATAGTTTCATCACGACATTCTTGTGGTAATCTCGAAAGGCAATCAGGAACAACATTATATTTACCGGCTTTATACTTTATATTAAAATCATATCCCCCTAATGTAATATTCCACTTCTGGAGTCTCAACGACATGGTGCTATTATCCTTAAGACCCTTGGTGAAGATGTGAACTAGAGGCTTATGGTCAGTAATAATTGTAAATTTTGTGCCGATTAAATATTCCTGAAATCTCTTTATAGCAAACATTATAGCGAGAGCCTCCCGCTCAATATTGGTATAGTTCATTTCAGACTTTAATAAAGTTCTCGACGCGAAAGCTATAGGTTTTTCTTTACCATCTTTTTCAATATGAAATAGTACAGCTCCTAAACCACATTTTGATGCGTCAGTGGCTATCCCTATAGGTAATTCAGGGTTAAAATATGTCAAAGCAGGTGGAAGACTAATTAACTTCTTTAGATCATTAAAACTTTTAGAGTGTTCTAGGTTCCAAGCCCATTTTTCTTTGTTGACAATCTTATAAAGAGGATCGGCAATTTCCGCAAAATTGTTCAAAAATTTTCTATAGTAGCCAGCCATTCCCAGAAATGTTGATAATTCAGCAGCTGATTTTGGTTCTGGCATATTAATTATTGCTTCAATTTTGTCGTGATTAGCATGAATCCCCTTAGCGTCAATATCATGACCCAGGAACCTCACTTTGTTTTTAAAGAACACACTTTTATTAAAGTTAGGTATTAGCCCAAACGATGATATTCTATCAAACACTTTTTTTATGTTGTTTAGGTGGGCTTCATCGTTTTTTCCAGTTATAAGTAAATCATCAATATAAAATATAACGTCATCCATTTCACCGAAGATTTGATCCATTCTGTTGAAAAATTGCAAATGAGGTCTTAAGCCCAAAAGGAAGTCTAGTAAATTGGTAATATCCCTTATGCGTAGATATGGTTAAAATATTTCTGCAACTTTTATCAATTGGAATCTGTAAGAAAGCATTTTTAAAGTCAATCTTCGTAAATTTCTTTCCTTCCGAAAGTTTAGCAATTAGATCATTAATTCGTGGTAGAGGGTATCTAAAGTCTTCTAGAGCTGGGTTTACAGTATCCTTAAAATCAGCGCAAAGCCTAATGCTCCCATCTTCTTTGTAGACAGCGGTAACAGGACTTGCCCATCGGACATCATTCACCGGCTCAATAATTTTATCATGTATCCATTTTTTGAGTTCATTACTAACAAGATCAATTTTTGAATAAGGGATACGTCTAGGCGGTATAATTTTAGGTTGGGCATCATTTCTTAAATGTAACTTGACACTTGCTTTGTTGATTGGCCCATTAGTTAATTTCGATTCACACTCTTTAATCAATTTTTTTATTTCATCTTCATAATTAGTGTCAATATTTGCTATAAATTTATTTAAAATATTTTTGAAAGCATTGATCCACGTACGTCCCAACAAGGCATTTTTACTTGATTCAACCACTACCGCTTGTAAATATTTGGAAATACCATCATAAGTCACTTTAACTTGAGTAGTTCCTATGATTTTGATTAAATTCCCATCATAAGCAATGAGTTGTAGCTCGGATTTCTTAAGATCTCTAATACCAAGATTTTTAGCCAGACCATGAGGTATAATAGTGTATTTGGATCCAGTGTCCACTTGCATACAAGTAACAATGTCGTTCACTTTTAAAGTAGTCATAAAAGCGTTATCTACCCCCCCCCCCCCTGGAAAAAAATTTTTTTTTTTTTGAGTTGATGTTATATTGTATTTGCTTTCTCTGATTATTATCATTACCTCTATAATT